AAATCAGTTAAGAAGTCATGTTGAGCAGTTCATTGGAGCTGCAAATTGTACGATGTTTACCGCTGCACAGGTATCTTCGAACTCACAAAAAGGTTAGATAACATCCTCTTTTTTAATAATTTAGTGTATAAAAAATCAGTCACTAGATGTTTTGGCAATCATGCCAGAGGAATACTCACAAACATGTGCTGATTATAACCAAGTAATGCATTTTTATACACATGCTGATCATAACTCAGAGGAGCAAAATATATTGCCACTGATTATTTATTGTATTGTGGCACTAGGCAGGATTCAGCTTGTGAGTAAAAAAATTGTATAATTACATTTGTACCAAGAAAGCCACGTGTTTATGATAAAAAATTTAGCATGCTGTTAGTCTAGATATGTTTTATATCTCCTAAATTTATGCCTTGTCCAGGGCAAGTTACTGGCTTTATGGTATTGGAGTTGGGGTCACTATACGAGCTCAACAAGAAGTCAGTTGCTGCTTCATCAACGATGGCTTAATCCATAAGGTTTGTAAATGTTAATTTTTTCACAGCATTGTTAGCGAGACATCCACTCCTGTAATCCATGTGTTAGTTTTAGCGGATTGGTTTGATCATAGTGCTATATTTGGACCTGCTTAAAAGACAATGCATTGGAATTATTCCTTCTAAAGCAGGTTTTATATCTCTCTCTTCTCTTGCTGTCCAGAGTGCATGATACAGATATACTTAAACATACATGATAGCATAGGGCTAATAATGTAGACACTATACAAAACCTGCTTTGTGCCTTCACATATACTACCATGTTATGCACTATCAAGTGTTTTCTGTTGTACCTAACAAAGCTTTACATTTATAATTTTACCTTTGACTGATCGCTTTTCAATCTATGTACTTGTTTTTCATGTTGATGAATTGATGATTGAAAGAATAAAGATGAAAAAAAAACGTGAATATTAGGAAAGGACCTAACATCAAATAATTAGAAGGGGTAAGGCTTCGAACCTAGGTTGTCTAGCCCACCACCTTGTGGAGCTAGCTGGAAGACCCCCTGGGCGTTTCTCAAAGAATAAAGATGAAAAGGTGGCTGATTGGGGTTTGGGTAGTTGTGTGTTCCTGATTTCTGGGATCAATTCATGCACGATGGATTAATGCAAATTGCTTAACTGGTCACAAAGCTGATGTATGTTTGATTAAGGAGTAACGGTTCCTGAATGGACATCTCACTTATGTCCAAATTGTTGACTATTTACTCGATGGCAACCCAGAACTAGATAAATTGCTCTTGCATAAATAGCTCTGTTCAACTTCAGGTGAATAACATCTGTTAGCTCAGGGTGTGATGCCTCCTATGGACATGGCAATTCTGTTGAGCATCTCAATTCTGTCCCTATGTACTCATGCAGAACTAGATAATGCTGCTAGCTCAGGGTGTGATGCCTCCTATGGACATGGCAATTCTGTTGAGCATCTCAATTCTGTCCCTATGTACTCATGCAGAACTAGATAATGCTGCTACATCAGTAACTCTGTCAAATTTAAGCTGCAGTAACTGTAGTGGAATTATGAAATATCCCATTTTGTTGTCCGAATGTCCATTTGAACTTTTGATGGATTATTTGTGAAAGGTGTTTAGCTCACATGTCGCATCTTTATATATCTCCTGCAATTTGAAAAACTGCAATCGGTTCATTACTTATTTGATTGACATGATTCAATTGGGGGAAATATGTTCATATTTCTCTCGTGAACAATTCTTTTCACGGCAATGTGCAGCATGGGTACACTGGTCGCAGTTGTGTGCCCCTAGAAGGCCTTGTAAAAAGCCAGGAGCTGATCGCACTTCATAGAAATCTGATACTCTGCATGTTTTTTCCAAAGAAACCATATGAAGTGTTCCTGGAATTTGGTGGATATGGCCAGAGTGATATCCTCATAAGGAAATCAAAAGCAAGGGTATGTATCACACTGAGTCAAATTGTTGTTTTCCTTTTGCATCTCAATTTGTGAATGGAGACATGCATCTTAGTGGAAATCCAGTGGTGTTATGCAGGTTATGAAGCCCTCATTCACAGTTGTCCGCGATAAAAGTACTAAATCCTTCATCCTTTTCATTCGGGGCGCTACAAGTGTTAAGGATTGTTTGACGACAGCGACTGCTGCAGAGGTTCCATTTCATCATGTGGTGTTAAAAGAATGCCGTGTTTCCAATGTAGTTGTTGGGCATGTGCATTGCGGAATGGTTGCAGCGACTCGGTGGATTGCAGATCAGGCCTTTCCCTGTCTCAGCAGAGCAGTTGAGCAATTTCCAGACTACAGAATTAAGGTGATTATTCAACCTTTTCTGAAACATTGTGCTTTCCATTTCTTGCAATAAGAGGAAATAATTAGTATATGGCACAGTGTTTCACAACTTAACATTGAATTAGCAAAGATGTGACACTAAGAATGCAGATTACACGAACCATCCTTTTCTTGATTTTGTAAAACTTTTCGTGGTAGCTTCAGCAGTTGCGTCACATGGAAGCCCCATGCATTTTTTTTTCACAATACATTTATCTATATATATAACCCCTTCTTCTACCATCTAATTGTTCCGGTTAAATATTTAGGTATGCCAAATTAATAAGTCAGTGTGTGTAGTGTCAGAATGCTATATTTTGGAGATCAATCACTCCAAGGTTGCCTTCATTCATAGTGGTTTGGTTGTTGGTTGTAGGTTCATGGTGAGCTCGCAGCGGTGGATCCAGCAGCCCCAATAAAAGAAATCAGGTGTTGCGCATGGCGGACCAAGATCGGCCGCCCATGGGAGATTGTGCTCTGCATCTACGACTTCCCCCAACATCGCCGTTCTCCATGTACAAAACAATTCCAATTCAATCATGTCCTCCGGCATTTGTTCTTGATACATCAAAGAAAATTGTCTATTTTGGATAGAGCATGTTCATCCCGGCCTATCCTCTCTAGCTGGGCCACATGATGGAGGCACCGGACGTCACCCTCCACACCTAGTATATGCAAGAAACAAACAAGAAATCATTTTTTGAGGGTGTTCTTCTAGATGCTTATAAGTGGTTGCAATTTTTCTTCCAGTGGAATCAAAGGTGTGTTTTAGGGTTATAAGTGGTTGCAATTTTTATTGTTCCTGTGCAATGCAACACTTAATAACAAGTGATTGGATCATAGGGTTGCTGCTTGCACCATTTTGTATTGCTATGCTTGTTTCTCTCCCAACACAATAACCCCTTATGGAATTCAACATCGAATCTATAGATGTGTCAACATTTGCATCGTACACTGAGCACTGCAGCTCTGTGCAGGCGGCGCGCCAAGGCGTGCCCAGTCATCTAGTAATACGGTGCACAAGATCAAGAAGATGGTAACACAGATGTTTATACTAGTTTATACTCGAGAAGAGAGGTAATCCCATAGTCCAGTTGTATGTAGATTGGATTTGTGTGTGCGTAGTACGGTGTGTGAATAACACGTAGCGCGTATGAAGGAATCAATCAATCACCCATATTAGGTTTTCGGGCAACCGGCTAAAGTTGATAGGTTATCCCTTATAATCCGGATACCCACAACCTAATTACGCAGGATAAGATTTATAGGCTTATCTTTAATCGCTTTCTTAGATTACAAGTTAGCCATACGGGCCTAGGGCACTCGGCCCACCCAACATGAGGTACTTGGGTACCATGTAGCCCATGTTGAATTTATAAGCACATAATGATTTAATTTATTCCATAAATAAATCATGACATTGCAGATGTAAACTAGCATGAACGCATCATTAGATCTACACATGTAAACTAAGCAGTAAAACGTGAACATATCAAATATGCGCAACATGTTGAACACGTACCGAGAATTCTGGAAGACCAGTTGCTCAGCAGGAATTACTCGCGGTTGCGGGCGTTGACGAAGGCGCGCAGCATGCGAGCAAATAGGAAGACGAGCCGTTGTGGTCGAACAGGGAGCAGTCGTGCGAAGCGCTTCCCAAAAATCTTATTGCCGCCTTCTCCCAGTGCAGGACGTCGAAGGCAGAGGTTCTGAAGACCTGTTCTCCCGATTGCCGGTGCACGCCGACGAGTGGGATGGAGTAGACTACGAGCGACGACGCAGTACAGAGGAGGAGGCAAACCCTAGATTGATTTCATGTGTGTTGCGTGGAGGCGGCGGCTCGGTTTATGTAGAGAAATGTCGCTTGGTCAGGGCGCCCGCACGATCTCCACTCCGCGTAACCGAACCGGATAAGTCACGCGTAACCTATCCGAACTCCATGTCGTTTTCACATACTGGATTTTTCAGAATGTTTCCAAAACAAGCAAATCTGAATTCGAAATGTTTCCAAAACAAGCAAATCTGAATTTCCCACAGCAAAACAAAACTGCAAAATGAGGCTGCAACTGCGTAAGGGTGAGGGACCAATTTTGGCGGACCATTTGACGCGTATGTCGTGCACGCGCCATGCCATGCGAGCCGAGCAAGCACGCGCGTGTTCCCCCTCTTCTCTCCACCTCACATGCTTCAAGTGGATAGGAGGGCATCCTGTCTTTTAAGGAGGTCTCCGTCTCCTAGAATAAGTAAGGTGGTACTAAACTCCCCATGCATGACATCCCATGATGTGGGCTTTTATGATTTTACAAAGAATTAATCTTCGAGTGGGTTAAGGCCTATCTATTAATTCCAACAGCCCTTAAGGAGGTCTCCGTCTCCTAGAATAAGCAAGGTGGTTCTAAACTCCCCATACATGACATCTCATAAGGTGGGCTTTTATGATTTTGCAAAGAATTAATGTTCGAGTGGGCTAAATCCCATCTATTAATTCCAACAGCCCAAGTCACATGAACTGGTGCTATGTGTATATAAGTTTCTGAGAGTTCCTTTTAGGCTTCATGAAACTAAAGAGAACAATTCAAACAATAATAGCTTTTTAATGATAGTTTTGTTTGAGAAATTTTTGTGTGCGGCGTGGCGCCGCGCAATCATTGGAAGTTCAGAGAATTCCGAAATAAGCGAACAATTCTCACCTGCAGAGAATGTTATACGGTTTTGCAGCCAATTTTATACAACTGTCACTCATTCACTTTCCAAGAATACACCAAGAGCTTCATAGATATAGCATACAAAAGATTAAGAAAAATGGCAGAGTCTGCATTAGCTCAGTCCTCATCCACAAAGATTGTTTCTTGCTTGAAGAGTCCCCCAAACACGGGCCTCACATCCGGCTTGGATTCCGGCTGCTTTGGTGTTGGTCTTGTCTTCTGCGCCGCGGGCTTCACAACAGCTCTCTGTGGTGCCAGCTTCTTTGCTTTTGCCTGGCCTCTCACGGTGGCGATCTGCGCTTTTGGTTCCACCTCGTCTGAGTCCTGAGTGGCCACTCCTGCAAGTTGTGTGCTGAGCTTCTCCCATGAGAAGTCCGTGCCGAACCCTTTGGCTCTGCTCAGAAGGTTCTCCAGAGAAGCTTGCGCCTCACTTGCAGCTGCCTCATCAGAGGGCGTCTTCTTCCCCCCGGCTTTGACCGTAGTAGTGTCCTCTTCTGCCTGACGAGTTCGCTGCGAAGCCCGAGTCTCCTCTTCTGCCTGTGCTTTTGCAACAGCATCTTGGTACTCCTTCCTTCTACTGTCCTCAGGGATAGCTCTGAAGAGGGAGTATGTGTGCAATGCCACACAAAGAGTAAGTAAGCAATTGTAAGAAAGATTTGAAGCATCGAAAAAATTTGACATTCAGAAAAGTAAGGGCCTGTTTAGTTCCAAAAAGTTTTTCCCAAAAACATCACATCGAATCTTTGGACACATGCATGGAGTATTAAATATAGATTTTTTAAAAAACTAATTGCACAGTTAGGAGGGAAATCGCGAGACGAATCTTTTGAGCCTAATTAGTCTATGATTAGCCATAAGTGCTACAGTAACCCACATATGCTAGTGACGGATTAATTAGGCTCAAAAGATTCATCTCGCGGTTTCCAGGCGAGTTATGAAATTAGTTTTTTTATTCGTGTCCGAAAACTCCTTTCGACATCCGGTTAAACGTCCGATGTGACATCCAAAAATTTCCTTTTCGCGAACTAAACAGGCCCTAATACTGTTGTCAACTGAACATTGTAACTGCCCATCAGAATTTAGGAGTGAGAAAAAGGATTTCTTTTGGAATTTTATTGTCAATATATAGGCTATGTTCGGGAGGTGAGGTTGGGAACTTACCACCCGCAAAAAACACACCGTTTAGCAATTTGAAAAGCATACGCACGGAAAAAGATAGAGGTGAGTTGGGAACTTAGTAGAAAGAACAAAGCCATAGACCTTTGGTTAAAATGTATCATCCTTTGGTTACAATAGAACCCATCAACAAGGATAGCAGATGCTGGCCACAACTTTTGACAAGATGCCTTAGGGCATCGAGGTTTCTTTATACAAGAAGTTGCCTTCCAACAATAAGGCAAGAAATGGTGAGCCATTTTGGTTTTGTGCCAATTCTTGCCTTACCAATTCTTAGGTAGTTTTGAATAGTGCATGTTAGCATTTTGGATTGGAGCCAATTTTTACCAAATCAATAGAGTGGAGCTAGATCTATACTATCAAAAAATTTTGCCCAAGGTTTGATACTACCAATATTTTGGTAGGGTTTCAAACCAAACAAGCCCGCTATGCTCTAACCTAGATCCCTCGTTTCTATACTGATAAAAAGGAGTAGTGGTGAACCACTACCAACTCCTAACTTTATTTTAAGGAAAAAAAACATGTGAGGCTAGAGGTCCGATATGTCAACTACTTCCACTATCTCTTTACTTTTTATGGAAAAAAAGATTAGTATGGGGCTAAAAGGGTCCACGTGCGATTAACAAATATGTAGAACAATTAAGAAATGTTAATAATATTTTTCTTTAATTAAAATTCCGTTGCAACACACGGACAATATGTTAGTCAGTAGAAACATGCTTACTTGAGCACTAAATAGAAAACTACTAATACCAAAAGGATCAAATAACAATTTGTTGGAGAAAAATGCATATGGGTTAGTCTACTCACGAGAAAGCCTCCTCTATGGTCTTGGATGTTACTGATGAGCTAGTGGAAACTTGGACAACCTGGAAAATGACAAATTTATTCATGATGAAGTTAAAAATCGAGTAAATAGGCAGCCACAATATAAATTCATAGTTGAATTACACAGATTATTTATCAACATAATCAGTTGGTTGCATAATGGAGATACAAAAACAGTATACAAAAGTGTTTTTCAATACAAGGTTAGAACAATTCATGGACTGAGTTAGGCGGGCCAGTTTCATTACTTTAGCCAGCTTATTGTAGCCCCATCGGTGTGCAACCATTGACTATATGCATTAAAAAATGAGAAATTTTAATCCACTGTAACTTCTATGCAAAGTTGTGTTTCAAATTTCAGAAGCTTGAATAGTACCATATATTTATTTCTAACATATCTATTGCTATGTATATGCACTCTAACATATCTATTTATTTCTCCTGCACGAACTGTCAAACGATTACATATGGTTTGTGCTTCCAGATGGTTACAGACAAAAAATAAAATTGTTGTCTGTGTTGGAAATGGCCAAGATCGGAGACACACACAAACACGAGAGTGAGTAGCAGAGCTTGTGAAGCTTGACAATGGCAACGAACGCCCTGGCAACGAATGCCGGCTTTTCTCTATTTTCACTCGGTGATCAACAACAGGATGAACATGTGCTTATATAGGCCCAGGGTGACGCACAAATGGAGCACGAACTCCTTCCCCGGCCTTTGCTCGCACGATCCGCACGTCCCGGCTCACGCCATGCATGAGCACAAACTCAGCGCACGACGCGGCCGCCAGCGTCCGCGCACGACGCCACACTCTCCAACTGAACCCGATACACACGCTCGCAGCTAGCTAGCCTGCGCTAAACTCGGACGAACCTCCACGCGACGGACGCGTTCACAACAAACACACACGACGCACGCCGGCACGCGAACTGACCTGAACACACACGGTCAGGTTTATTTCCTAACAATCACCCCCTAAACCTGACCTACAGGAGCGTCGGCTCGTCGTCGGCAGAGGCGAGGAGCGCCTCCTCCTTCCTTGGCTTGCGGCAATCCCGGGAGAGATGGCCACGAACACCACAATTGTAGCACTTCCCTCCTGGACGGCGCGGACGCCGGTTTACCTCGGAGCTCACACTGCTGCCGCCGTCGTCATTGTCGCTGTTTCGGCCGTCGTCCTTGGCGCCGCCCTCACGCACACGCTCCTTTTCGCGACGCTGGCGCCGACGTGCCTCCCACTGCTCCTCGGTGAGAAGTAGCTGCTCGCCATGGGCCTCCACGTGATCTTCAGCGTCGGCGTCCTCCGCCACTTGCAGGCGTCCGACGAGCTCCTCGACGGACATAACATCCATGTCCGCGAGCATCTCAATCGCAACCGCGACTTGCTTCAACCTCTTCGGGACCACGCGCGACCTTCTTCACCACGCGACTGTCTTCCATCTCCTCCCCGAGGTCGCGCAGGCTTGCGGTGAGCCCGTTGATGCGCATCACAAAGTCACCAACGGTCTCCCCGTCGCGGAACGCCATGTTCTCAAACTCCTTCATGAGGCGTTGCACGCTCGCCTATTTCACGCGATCGTCGCCGGCTCACATCTTCTTCACCGAGTCCCACGCCTCCTTCGCCGACGTCTTCACGGCAAGCCCGGCCTTCATCTCCGATGGCACTGCACGCAAGATGGCGGCCAACGCCCGCCGATCCTTGGCGCGGTCGTTGGTGACCGCCTCCACCGCGTCTCACAACACCAGCGCCTCCAAGCTCACCCGCATAACCAAGGCCCACTGATGATAGTTAGCCCTGGTTAGCATCGGCAGCTCCACGACGCTGGAATTGGGCACGACGCGCTCCACCACGGCCTGACGCGGTGTGCTGCCATAACCGGTGCCGCTAGAGCTCGAGTCCTCGATGCGAAGAGTCTTCGGCGGCGTCATCATCTCCCCTCTCTAAACTCGCTCTGATACCAAATGTTGGAAATGGCCAAGATCGGAGACACACACAAACACGAGAGTGAGTAGCAGAGTTTGTGAAGCTTGACAATGGCAACGAACGCCCTGGCAACGAATGCCGGCTTTTCTCTATTTTCACTCGGTGATAAACAACAGGATGAACATGTGCTTATATAGACCTAGGGTGACGCACAAATGGAGCACGAACTCCTTCCCCGGCCTTTGCTCGCACGATCCGCATGTCCCGGCTCACGCCATGCATGAGCACAAACTCAGCGCACGACGCGGCCGCCAGCGTCCGCGCACGACGCCACACTCTCCAACTGAACCCGATACACACGCTCGCAGCTAGCTAGCCTGAGCTAAACTCGGACGAACCTCCACGCGACGGACGCGTTCACAACAAACACACACACGACGCACGCGAACTGACCTGAACACACACGGTCAGGTTTATTTCCTAACAGTCTGCACTTCGGACTATTATATCTGTTGCTTCAGAATATTGGTCAAGTATGTATGTTCTCTTTAATCAAATTGACACATCTAATTAACAGTGTCTGTCATGAATATAATAACCACAAACGCGAGGCAATCTACTTCTGAGTTCTGACTAATCACAAGAACCTTCCTGTTCCATACAAGTTCCTCGTGGGACTACCAGGGCAGAACTACCAACAGAACAGAGTGCCTAATTACAATGATGCTTTCAAATGCGTTGGCATGCAAAGGTTGAACATATGGCACATGTAAACCAGTACCTTGTTCTCCGCGACTGCCACGTTGGAGAAGACATCTGCCACAAGACCAGCAATCTGCAACTTGGACACCTACAGAAACGCACAAAACTATGAATGTAACGAACCTTCATGTAGACTATTGCATCATCACAGTATTGTATACCTTGCCGGTTTCTGTTGAGGAAGTAGTGCTGGACGCGCCCTCTTTGGCCAGGACCAAGCCATAGGTGCTCTCAGGGCTGTAGTCATCTGTGAGTGACGTCTTGATGAGAGTGTACCTGACGTCGGTCTCCACCACCTTAGCCAAGAACTCGTTTAGTGGCAAGGACTGCACACGGGAGAAGAGGTTCGAGAAGAAGGACGTGAACCCGTCGAGCACATTGTACGTCGACTCACCACTGGGGTCACCGGCCCCCAGGTCGTACACCACCACAACGTGTGTCACGCCGGCAAGGTCAGCAGCCTGCACAACTCGGAGCGCCTCGTCGGTGGTGACCACACCGCCGTCGGGCCCCTTCTCAGCTGCGCCGACTGTAACCACCACCTTAGTTGCAGGGCCGATGGACTTGGCGATCGCCTCGGGGTCCTCGAAATCGGACTCCACCGCGTTGAGTCGGCGCGCCTCGGTGGGGGAAATGAGCCGGTACGCGGAGGCGAGCCGCGCCAGCTCCTGGGCGGACGCGAGGTCCGGCACCCCGGCGCGCACGGCGAACCCCTGCCGCAGCAGCGTCTGCGCGATGCGAACTCCCGCCTGCCCCGTGGCGCCCGCGACGAACACTGTCTGCGGGTCCTTCCTCCCCCTCCCGCCGGCGAACAGAGACCCAGCCGCGGCCGGCGGGAAGGCCGGTATCAGCGACCTTCCATCCGAGAGCTTACCGAAATCGGCGAAGAACGACCTCTTCTTCGGCTCGTCATCCGCGCCGGTGTCCTTGGAAGGCTTGCCAGGGCCGACACGGCAGAGGAAGGTTGTGGCGGCACGGCGGCGGGTTAGAGGGGTGGAGAGGGGGCGGAAGGAGGGGGGGTTGGAGGTGAGGGCGGGAGGCATGGCAGGCGTGTCAGGTGGTCGAACAGGTGGTGGGCATGGGCGCCGTGGGATGAGGAAAGTGTGGAGATGGGTGGGGCGCGCCGACGCGTGGGGGATGGCATTGGCATGTTTGGATTGGGGGGAGTGGCTGGGGAGCCTATAGGGAGAGGCCATGTGGGTCGCCGTTTATCTCCATTTGGCCGATTGGCGGTCGTGAGTTCGCCGCCCGTCGTTCCCACAGGACCCACCGCCACGCCCAAGATCGCGAGCGTCTCTGTCGCATCGCATGTATGTGGGGGCATTGTTCCGAGGACACAGCCTGCAGCTTGTGTGTCTGAGAGGAGTCAAAACGGTGGTGGTAAATACGGGACCTCTTCTCATGCAGGAAGACTGACTTTGGCCATGTTTAGCTGTTTTGGAAAAAAAAAAATTAACGTATACGGACACACATTTAAAGCACTAGTCAGCGTGCACCTGTAAGGCACGTCGATACCTATTGAATGGAATCAAATTTGAAAAAGAGTATTGAGCCTCGGTACTAATAAAATATATGATTTTTCATACAAACACAGTGGTGATAAACCGAGAAAAAAAACATGTTTCGAAGATCCAAATACCACGTTACTATGTACTCAACAAGTAAAAAAATAGAAGTCCAAAAATTATCTGATAAGATGCTTTATTTAATATGCAATATCCTTTTTATTAAAAAACAGAATATATATATCAATAGAAGGACTTATGCATTAAAGCAAGACTAACTGTTTGTATATGCTGACAATTAAATGTCAAAATGTACTTAAAGAAAAGGAAAATCACATAATACAGTTTGAAATTTGAAACAATAAGGATATGTCTAAGATTTTTTACAAGATACACATAATTTGCACAACACAACATTTATACAGCAATCATTGATTAGATATTGCTCAAAAGAGAAATAAGAATACTTTAATCATAAATATACATAATAGATCGTGTAATTCTAATCATGAGTTTATCCCATCTTTGCAGAGCAGGTCATGAAGGGCATACAAGTAAAAAAATTGACATTCATCGACAAGCTTAACTATACTTTGATTCTTGTTTCTGCTTGATACCTCTACTTTCTTGCGCTATGATGGCAAAATCTATTTGTTAGATAAAAATTATTAAGATTAAAGATAAAAAGGAATAGGATCAAAACTTGAAAATTGTATTTGTATGATGCCTTGTGTATATCTGGTCATCCCAGATTTGCAAGCATTAATGAAATTCAGAAGCGGCTTCAGGTTTCCAGAAGTGTATACCATCATTTGGACCACAAAGTAGTGATAAAGAACACAGATAAGTGTGAGTTAAAAAAGACTAACCACAAGGGAAAAAAACAAGTGTAAGAAGCAAAATCAAAAGCACCATAAATCATCACTGGCCATTCTCCTAGCAAATAATAAGCATCTGTCAATATCAGCCGGATAATCAGCATAAGGCAAAGATAAAATAAAAATCTGTTATCAAGAACTTATAAGGATAATTAAATATCAATGGTAGATATTCCACACCTTCCATGCCCACGTGTAAATTCAACCTTCCACACCAATTAAACGGTCACTTGACGAAAAGGATTTGGAAGGGAAAAAAAATTCAAAGTTCATGGTATGCAAGTGAGTGGATAAAACTCGGAGCACGGAAGTGATAGCATATGATCTTAAGGGCATACAATGATTTTTCTTTAAACTGAAACTGACCACCATTTACATGATTAAGGGAACTGTTTCAAAACCAAGCATTGTATCTCCAAAGTTAAAGGTGCTTAAGTTTACTCAATGTGACTGAAACAATACGTGGACAACACCACAAGAATTACAGCTCCCAGTTTGTATTGAAACTCCCATGCACTGTTCAGACAGAAAAAAATATTGAACTGACCCATGGAAACTGATGATATATGCATGACACTGACTATTTTCACTGACATACAGTACAAATATGGTTTCAGACATAAAAACAAAGGAGTAATATCTCAGTTCATTTCCCAAATTGGATACGTCATGCAATCAAATTTGGAAACTCATTTCTCAATTCATCTCCCAAATTGCATTAACCACTCTTTCATAGTACATACTAAATAACAAAATAGGCTGCAATCATTACACATTTTACCTCTACCTCCAACAACATAAATATAAATATAAATATAAATATAAATATAAATATATATATATATATATATATATATATATATATATATATATATATATATATATATATATATATATATATATATATATATATATATTCCATTTATCTAAAAACAGAATATTCCACCACAATTTTCATTCACACACAGTAGAGAGTTAAGAGAAATAAAGTAGCACTACCAGTCTACCAGGCACGAATGAACATGTTCTGCAGTGCAATCAGTCCCATGGCATACATGGCCTTCTCTAGTAGTTTTGACAAAGAGAGGAAAACCTGATAGAAGCTCAATCGAAACCATTTGGAAAATCAGAGCAACTATAAGAAAGTACATAGCAGATGTATCATGAAATGTTGGAGAAGGCAACAATTTATTAACTGATCAATTTGTTAGCATAGTACAGAATTGACAGCTAAATGCATTTCCAAACCTGTCTCTGAAATTAGCTTGAGATAACAACTTGATTGAGCAAAATTTGACTGAACAACTATATGGTAAAATGAAATAGTTAATGTATTACTAATATCATCAGTAGCAATAACACACAACATGAGGGTTACATCAGAAGAGGGGATAGACTTATTAGCTGCACATATAAAATGTAAAATAATGGCCATATCTTCCAATGGAACCAGAACCAGAACCAAAATCAAACAGGATCAGAGTGGACCAAAAATCAATTGGTGTTGACAGGGAGTCAGAAAGCGTGGGAGCGGGTGGAGCTAAAATGATGTAAAGGAACAGGTTGATTTGTATTTATTCCAAAAGGGAAGAATCAATAATAATAAACTCCTAATTATCAACCAAACGAAGTAATAGAAAAAGAATGTGAAACTACCAACTGGCTATCAAGTAACAACCATTCTGGCAAGCTTCCTAGAAACGTACTGGTGCTAACGCTATGACTATATATAATAATACAAATCAAATAAAAAATATATGTTTTAACGACCGGAATAAAATGAGATAGATTTATTATTCAGTAAAAAACAGAAATTGTTTAATATATTGCTAATTATTTTACAGAATTCTTTTACCTTCAACGCAGGTGAAGAGGAACTGAGGACGTCAACCGGAAACAACAGGATATGGGCATAGGAGGTCTCCGATCTGCGTGGTCATGCATGGTGGATCACTGCTGCTGATGTCGCGCAGACATGTTGACTTTCCCCTAACAAAGCAAGTTACAATTAATTTATAAATAAATTATGCAATATGTGATGATACCCTATGATTTTTGCAATGCTAAGATCTTAATTTTTATTAATTATTGCATTTTTCAGGACTTAATAACCAGTGTCCCAGAGGATTGCTGATAGACAAATCTATTCGTCTTTGTGAACAATGTCAGCAATAGCAGTTAGGGAAATGAAATTTGTATTGAACTACGTAACAAAACATCGATCACTAATTTATTATACCACCATTTGTCATTTGATCCTCTGATTACAGGAGGGGAAATAAGGTGTGCTCACCACATATGAAATGATTGTCGGAATTAAGTCAGTTCCTTGCAATGATACTGAATTAGACAAAGCAAGGAATCTGGTTAATACGCAGCTATATGATGGCTGCATATACACGCATGGACAGATGCATAGCCTGCTGAGAGATTAAACTGAATAGCATGGCAAGATAGGCACTTAAATTTAATTTACAAATAATGTTATTTATACAAGCACTTAGCATAATGGTTCTATACAAGCACTTAGCATAATGGTTCTAGCATGTAGCTCATAGAAAATTTAAATAATTTGAGACCCCGGATACCCCTATTCTGGAAACAGTACAACTGAATAAACTGGCTAGACTACAGTACAGAGCAGAATAGTTGAATAAATTGGCTAGACTACAGTACAAAGCAGAACAATTGAATAAATTGGATAGATAACTGAATAAATTGGCTAGAGTACCAAATGTGAAACAAAAATGTCTTTTTTCTTTTTTGAAAGACAAAACTAAATTGGGGAAACACAATGCTACTGTGATTCAATTAAACTGATTACTCCAAATAAATTACAAGAACCACATCTACGTAGCTTAGTAATTTGCTTAGGATTACAAATGAGAGGGGATTGAAGGGTTTGTTTTGGTGTTGAATTGAATCTTATTTATCCATAGCAGGGGTGGATCCAACTTAGACTTTTGGGGAACAAACGAACCTTGGGGATTTTATAAAAGAAAAAGTACGAATTACCCCCCCAAGTATTGGGTGAGTACGAATTACCCCTCTAAATCTGAAAACTAGCCATTTTTCACCCTCAACTATCGATACCAGATGAAAACCCCCCCGAGCAGTTTTGTAAGCGGTTTTGGTCTACGTGGCAGTACAGTCAACAAGTTTTTTATTAAATAAAAGATAGGACCCACCTGTCAGATATAATCTTCTCTCTATCTCTTTCCTCTCACCCCCTCTCTCTCTCCCGTTGGATGCCGGCGGCTGGGGCTCACGTGCCGGTGGCAGCGGGCGCCTCCTCCGCCGCTTCGGCGGGAGTCGTCGGAAATCATAGGTGGGAGCTTCGACACAGCGGTGGCGCTGTTCAACGGCGGCGAGCTCCACGCGTGCCACGACGTCGTGGAGGAGCTCTGGAACACCGCCGACGAGCCCACTGGCCTGGACGCTGCTCCACGCATCCTCCAGTGCGCCGTCAGCTTCCACCACCTCTTCAACCAAGTATATTTTCATCGTCTCATTTCCACATTTAACTATGCATAGTAATTATTACTCCACCAGTAAAAATTGTGATTAGACACATGATCGTGCACAAACACAGAACCACCGTGGCGCCATGATGGAGCTCGGGGAAGGCCTCTGCAAACTCCGCAAGCTGCGTCTCAAGGAGTGACACTATGAGCTCCTTCTCCCGCTTCGAGGAGGAGGTCACCGCCGCGCTCAACTTCATCTACCGCACACAGAAGGAGCTAGCGGCGTGCAACGACGATCTCTG